ATGATGATATCCCGAATGAAGGTCCAGGCAACAGAAGTATGCGTTTTGTCGCCCGAGTGCGTCCAGGATATCCTGGATGACCGGCATTGGGTAATTATCTGGCAAAAGGACTTTATTGATTTCTCTATAGTCCTCTACGATTCTCCACCTTTTGATGGCTGGCGCGTTAGGGTCATCGTCCTTTAGCGTCAAAAAGGCTGGGGAGTTGATAGTGGATTGCGCTGTTTCGATGATACCCGCTCGGGTGTAATTATCAATGATTTCATTGAGCGCCGGGGTCTTATCCGGGGAAATGCGGATTCGCCGGGGGGGTTCTGGGTCTTGCCCGTTCGTTGGGAGTGCCGCCACGTACTGCGGGAACAGTCCGTGTTTGCCACTCCACTGGAAGATATTTTTCCTGTATTTGAGCAGTAATTGTGTTATTTTTGCTCGTTCCGGTTCTGAACCGTCCACAAACCGAATGCCGTCGCCCGCAGGGGCCTGTGGCTGCTCGTTAGTGGGTTTGATATTCTGGAAACCCGAGAAAATGCGCTGCCCATCGAGGGTCATGCAAAAGGGGAGGTCTCGAAGAACATCGAGCCCGATGATGACGGGGTAACGTGCATGCGATAACAGAAAAAAGGACGCGTGGTAAACGGCTGAGCCAAGAGAAAAATTTGTACTCACCATATGCGTCAGGTTCGTAGAGACGTGCAGGACGGCCGCCGAAATCCGCGCCTGAGTGGGATGTGGCGTAAGACCTACCTCTGCGGCGACGTCTGTGGCCATGAATGACCGTGTAGCGCCTGTGTTGATAAGCGCTCGGACGCGATGTCCGTTGACTCCGATAAGGATGGTAAGGCTGTCGTCTATAGCTGCGGGGATCGAACAGAGGACAGCCGTCACTGTCTGATCTTTGCGTTTCCCTGCTGTGGGCAGTTTGCTGCGGTATGGCCTGCAAGACCACATTGGACGCATTTAGTTGCTTGCACTGATGGCGTTTGGTTAGGTGAGTTCACCTGGTTTGCTGGATTGTTGCGGCAATCCGCGGTCGAGTGCACCACTATTTGTCCCGGGTGGTATGCGCAGTTTTGCAGAGCGCGTGCTGGCGCTGTTGATGGAGTGGAACTCCTGGAACCAGACTTCGAACAATCCGCGGTTGTGTGGAACACGTACTTCTGGTGGTGATCGCAGTAGTACTTTGGTATTCTGGCGGCTGTCATTTTCGGCGGTCTCGCCTGACCGGGTGCCGGAGAAGCCGCCGGCGCCGTTGTTGGCAACGCCGGGTGCGTGCGACGATATTCGTCTGCGTGCGCAAGACAATCGTCCCACAATAGTGCCCTGTCCGCTGTGGCTTTAGCGTGGAGCAGAGCGTGCATGCTGCCCGTGGTGATGGATAGCAGTTGGCTGATCAGCCCTGCTGTTATCGTGCATTCTTGGTTCGGAATTTCGTCTGGTTTGAAGGCGAGATACCTTATGTATTCCTCACGCAAGCGCTGGCCAAACTCGGCATATGATTCGTCTGGCGTCAGGCGCATTTTCTGGAACCTCTGAAAGTGTTCGAACGGGGAGAGACCGAAACGTACCTTGAGTCGTTCGATGATCTGGTCGTATTGTAGGTACCCCTGCTCGTACAGGATTTGCGCCGCTTCTGCTACTTTTGGCTGCAAATGTGCGATGAGGCAGTCGATTCGCGTGTGGTTCGGCGTTGCTTCATGCCGGAAAGCGATCGCTAGGCGGCGTAGGTATCCTTCTATGTCCTCGTTTGGGGACTGTTTCGGGTAATCCACCCGTCGTCGGAGAAGTGATGCCGTGATATCGGCTGCCGTTGGACCCGATAGTGAGTCCGGTGGCGTGCTCATTACCACGTGTAGTGGCGTTATCCCGCGATTGTGGAGCGTGGTCACTAATTCATTGCGGTTCTCTTCGGTTGCTCCCGGTATGTTGTATACCGTACAATACGCTCGTATTGCGGGGAGGTTATGCTCATTACCACGTGTAGTGGCGTTATCCCGCGATTGTGGAGCGTCGTCACTAATTCATTGCGGTTTTCTTCGGTTGCTCCCGGTATGTTGTATACCGTACAATACGCTCGTATTGCGGGGAGGTTCAGGCTTGCCCATGGATTCATGAGCGCCTGAGGGTTAGCTGGGGCGATCGCCTGTCCAGAGCCCGATGCGCCGTCCGGCGAGTCGGGGTTTTCGGCGCCGTTTCCGCGTTGGTTCACCATCCGTACGGCTGAGCCCCCAGTCAGATTTGACTCGATTGCACTTCGCGAGAGTTAAAGATAAAACAATCTAGAGACACAGATCAGGAAATGATCACAACGTTCTTTAATAATACCCGGGGTAGCGATACCAACTTCACAATATACAAAGGTCTGTACACTTCAACAGTCAGGCACTGAGTGACGGCTGGGGCTGAGCAAGACCCCTTACTCAACGGTAACTCAAGATGGCCGCCGAAAGCGCGCGGGCTTGGCTGGCCGAGGCCCTCTGATTGGCCTAGTTTGAACAACGTAAAAACACATCGAAGTCGCGAACCTTGTCGCGCGGGACACAATGGCCGTCGGCGGCCGTTACTATATNCAGATTTACAGTATTGTACTGTACTGTAGTTTCATAGGAAACAACGGCGCATTTTCTAGCGACATCTATGTAAAATTATTCAAAATCACTGACGCGGTAGCTGCTTACAACTTACATCACCCGGTTCAGTACGATACTGCATATTACTGTATATAGGCAGTGTATATATAGGCGGAACACTTAAAGTACTTCAAATAAAACGAATAAAATAATCCAATTAATACGAAAATATTGTACAGTATGTATATCCTATATACTGTACTGTACAATACAGTATGATGTATGACCGAAGTCTCAGGGCTGGTCGACCGTGATGCCCGTTCTGGTAAATTTAATGATGTTGGTAAAATAGAGCATTCGCGTATAGTACATACAGTATATTCTTTACTGCTGTAAATAGTACACCAGAACCGTATCTATCACACATTGAGTCAACAACAGCAATAAGTTGTAAGTAAACTACTGTACGCAATTCTGTGAAAAATGGGTCATCATGTTGAACATCCTTTTGCCAGCTTTGCTTAAACCCCCATTACCCCCTGTCATATGCGCAGCAGATGAGAAACACAGGAGTAAATCCATGCTTATAAAATTTCCCTTCAATGATTGATGAAAAAATCATACACCCATTGAAATTTCAATTGAATTAATTAAAACTTGAAATTTATCAACAATTTAAATACTTATTCTGATGGGGAACATTAAAACCCAATTTCATGAAGGGATGCAGTACTTGAATAAAATGCACATAATTTCGGCTTTGTCAACAACAATCCCTCTCATCAGCACTGCATTATTCATTCCAGTCCACACATATGCTTCTCATCATACATACATACACAAAAAAGGAATATTTACAACCACCCGAAATGCCTTGCCCTCCTCCGAGGAAAAATATCACAGGAAACAAAATAGAAAAGAACATGACCGTATCTACTCGCATTTAAGACAGAAAAATTACAAAATGCTCCTTGCAAAAATCTATTGTCAAGAATACTGCACACAGGAACGCACTGCTGAAAAGCATCTCATCTTTAATTTCAGTAGGTCATGGGAATGTGGAAAATACTTCATTGCACACTTTCTTCATCATTTGAAAGTATGTTCCGTCCTTCGTCCAAAATATGAAAAAATATATAGTTTCTGAAATACTGAAATATAAGGATCAGTTGCATACTGAATATAGAAGAGGGTTTTCCAAGTCTTTGAGGGAAACTTGAGATTGTCTTTAATACAGTGGGCTTCCACTTAACAAAAGTCGCACACAACAAATCTTTTTGAAGAGAAAAATGTTGTAATAGGGGGAAGAAAGGGACTCATTCAAGAAAATTAGTTCACATACCAAATTTTTATTTTGGGAAAAATAATGAAATTGCAGCAAATCTTGAGCTAAAATTTTGGAATCATTCCAAAAACTCTTGAAATGAGAAAAGAAGGGAATATAATTTTTGCCCCTTCTCTTACCTTTACAATTTATTGTGAATTTCAGAATCACATTAATTTAGGTTCCAATTTGATTTTAAAAATCTGCAGAACTATCCAGTTTTCAAAGTTTATTTTGTATCTTGGTGATTGTCTGGAATTGACTAATTATTATCCATACATTTTGAAAAGTGAAATTCAGGAAAAAATCAAAAAAGTGTTCTTATTTGGGGACTATATATCACCGTATATACAATATACTGTATTGATAAAATATTTGTCAAGTAACCGGTATGATTAAGAGTTTTGAGGATACATTGAATTGGGACCCAAGAATTTTTAATGCTTCAATTCATAAGACTTGAACATTTGATATTCTCTCTGAAATTTATTACAGATGGCGCCTTTATTTGCGAATAAATACGGCGAAAAAAAAAGGGAATCAACACAGCTTATAACATTCAGGCGTCCGTGCTGTCGATGGACTCCAGGTCGATGGTGGACACAGACACCAGCTCCGTGGCGCCTGCTGATGATGGCACAAGCCGTCCCCGGTGCTGCTGCTGCTGATCCTCCCCCACCGTCGCCGCCACTTCCTCATCGTCATCGTTGTCCATCCTCATTATCATACCGCGACTCCGTTGCGACAACGTTCTTTGCAACGCCCGCAAGAGCCGGAAGCTGCCAGCAGCAGCCGTGGATGACGACGTCGACGTCGACGACGTCGAGGATCCCAGGCTACGAAACGAGTCCGATGACGTGAGATCGTTGTAGTCTGGCGGCGGGGTGTGGGTTCGGTGACTATTGCTGCGGCGCCTTTCGGCGGCCCGCAGCGTGTAGTGGGTCTCTCGAGGGGGACCGTCGGACGAGGAGTCGTTGCCGGCTGGGTCGTCGCTGATGACGAAGCCGCCGTTTGTCGCCGCCGTGGCAGCGGCGGCAGCGGAAGTGGCGTCCACTGACCCCCTGGGACTGCTGCTGCTGCTGTGAAGCAATCCCTGGATGTGCTGCAGACTGTGTCTGAAGGACCTTCGGAGGAATTTTGCCAGCCTGAAAGAAAGAGAAAGAGAGACAAATTAAGTATTGAGATAAAAACCTTTCCTCACTGTCCTTATATAAATGGTACCCAAAACGTTTTCTGCGGGAAATAAATTGACAATAAATTGTCAAATAAATTACCGCATTTCATTGAGGACCCGAAGCCCTTCAGTAAGACATGCACAAGAATATTTGAAAAATTTACATTCGCATGAGATACACATTCACATCATTTTCTCCGATTTCAGTGACAAAAGAACTACACATTTAAAATAAACATTAAATACAGGAATCTTATTTTACTTTCAAATGAATGCTCAAGTAAATAAATTTAAAAATAGAAACAATTGAAATTTTTAAAGGTTGAATTCACATTTGTATTTCTTGTGGATTTTGGACAGTAGTATTTTGAAGAAAAGCCCAATCTTTTTTGCCATATCAAGTGACTCAAGTAAGATGCTGAATATTTTTTATGCTTATGCACTTATGCTTGTTTACTTATGCTTCCTACACAAAAAATAATTCTATCCCTCAAATATCCATATCATCTGATATTGAAATTAGGACGTGCATCACAGTTGGAAATCTTGGAATACAAAAGCAGATTATTGAAAATATTTGATCCCAGTATGGGGATTTTATGATAGACAACATGTAACATTTTGGACAAGTGCAGATTGTTATTTTCCTTGTCTGGATTTCTTTTTGAAGAATAATGCATCTCAATTTGACCAAAGGTCACCAAAACTGACCTGTATGGCTCAAGAAAGAAAAAAATCTCTGGATAAAACAAACAAGGGAACCTGGAAATATGCCCAGTTTCTGCCCCAGTTCAATTTTACGTCAAAAGATTGGAAAAAATGGAGCCCTCTTATAAGGACCTTTTCATTTTTGCTCCTACAAACCTTTTCAGTGCAAAAATAAAAATAACGCAAATACTTCCAGACTTGAGATATATGCACCAATTCATCTTTCTTTTAAAATATTGAAGCTTCAGCTGAGAAGCAAAATTAAAAAAGAAGAAAATCAAGGCTCTGTCATGCGTGGGAGGTTTCACAAACAACAAAAATAAATTGAAAAAATAATCTGTTTTAGATATAAAAAAAAAGAAGAACTCACATGGTGCCAGTGGCAGTTGAATAGCTTGGAGGAGGTGTGTATTTTGGAGGTACATCAGCCTCAACAACTTCAGGAGCATCTCCCACTTCACTGTGCTCATCAAACAAGCCCATGTTGTTCTGATGACCCTGCTGTTGACACTGGTGACAGTGAAATGAGTGCCTCTCATCTGAGTGCCTCCCATTATTGGAATCCATGCTCAGAGATGGTCTGCACAGCTTCATCATTCTTTCAATAACATTTGATGGTCCACAGGACAAGTACCTTGAAACAAAGGCAGATTTCAGTCATCACTTGCATGATGATGTGATTTGGATTTGATTTTATTAAAATGTTTACCATATGCACTGAATTGATGCAACAAGTGGCACAGCCAGCAAAGGAGCAACTTGAATCCATCCTCCCAAGTGCCTTGCTAAATCACTCCAGTGCATGTAAAATTTTGAGTTGATTGGTTCTGGAGCTTCTGTGTCATCTGAAAAGGTAGTGTCAAGCTTCTCCCATGCAACAAATGGCTCTTCCACCAGTTCCCAATTCAGCATTTGTCTGAAAGTTCCATGGGCAAAAGATATAACTGCTGTGACCTGTGAAATTAACAAACACAGAAATATGGAAGCTCAACATTTTGACTAGTTCTGAAATAAGGACCCTAGATTAAATAGGGTAGTACCTTGAAATTTATCCAAAGGATCTTTCATTTTGAACAGGAAATGATAACACTTATCTTTTCAGAAACAACAAATAGAACATGCTTTTGAAAATTCTCCTGATAATTTTGACTGCAAAAATATTCTTCAAAGTATGTATGAGTCATTCATAAAAATGCACAGAAGTTGCTAATGTTTCTAAATTCTTGTATATAATTTTTCAAGAG